TGCCGCGCTGGTGGCAGCTGAAGGCCAGTAAGTGGAGGCGGAAGTGGGATGTCGGCACCTTCGACTGGAAGGAGAAGTCGCGCAACTACGTTTTGTAGTCGATGCGGTTGTGTGGTCTCCTGCGCTGGGGGTCCGAACTGATCCTGCAGGGCTGGCAGAAAAATACGAATAGGGTCGTCGAGATCCACTTGAGGGGTGAAACGTGCTCCGGTTTCTTCAGGGACGTCGGGGGTCGGGGGTGAAAAAATCGGCACAGGGGTCGGGTCTGGAGAGGGGGAGGCCTGTGGTGTGGGAGGGACGGTTGCCGGACAGCTCCTGGCAGTGGTATCTTTGCCCACGTCCGTGACGTTCCCAAAACGGTTCAGGCAGCAGTCGAAGATGTGATAGCACTCCAGGCGTTCAGCTCCATGATCCTCATCATGGGAGGGCCCGTCGCGGCAAAGAGGAAGTACAGGAAGAGCTTCAGGAGGAGCGGGAGGGACTGGATCCAGAGTGGTGGATATGTCGGTAACTTTGCCCGTGATATCCACGTCCGGAACGATGATATGTTGCTGCTCGGCTCCGGCACTGGTGGTAGAAACTTCCGTAGAGGCAGTAGGTCCCAGTGCCCGCCGTGAATCCTATTTCGACGATTTGCCTTTGGATGTTCCTTTGGCTCCGCCTTTCATCCCGGCTGAAGCCTTCTGTAAAATATTGTCGCTTGCTGTCGTCAACTCCGCCAGCTTTGGGTGGTTTTGTAAATCGGACCAATTCTTCCAGGCGTTATCCCAATGCTTTTCCACACACATGTCCCCAACAGTCACTGTGAGGGCAAGCTGTCCTCCAACACGTACTTCATATGGAGATTGTTCTGACACCTGAACGGTGTATGGATTCTGCAAATCATTCTTGAGAAGATATTTCAATCCGAATACAAATTTCCTGGCTGCCCGGTCGGATGCCTCTCTGTCTGGCGTTGACCATACGGTTTTGTCTGCACGCCGTAAGTTCCCACTGCGAATTAAGGCTACAGCTGTGTCGCGGTCGAGCATGGTGCCAAACTCTGCAAACAATATGTTGTTGAACTCCCCCTTGGCGTAGATGTTCGTGGGGATCGGCCCTTTCATCAAAAATAGCTGATCTCGAACATATGTGCAAGCAGACGTGCTGGTGTCGAAATTCTCCAGGTTGCCGATGACTGCTGTTACCGCGCGTTTGCCGTGATAGTGGTATGTGTCCCCCGTGCCATAAGAAGCCCCAGAAAGAGATCGTGGAGTCCCAGTTGAGACGTTGCCAAAGCGTTTCTCCAGATATTCAATTTTGTCTTTCAGCTCGTTCTCCATGTTCGTCGTGCGTATCTGCATGTCCTCGATGTCTGTGGCCATGGAGCTCTCCAAGGTGTGTACCTTCTCGGTGAGGTCGTCAACTTTAGATTCTAAAGGCTTCATCGTCTTCTCGAGTTCCCCCTTGGATATACCATGCTTCTTTATGGCTTCAATGTCGTCCCGTATGGGCTTCAAGTGCATCTGCAAGATTGCTGTTAGACTTTTTGTAGTGAGCGGCCCGTCGGCCTCGTTGAGGTTCTCTTCGAAAGTAGCTTGCCGTGCAGCCACTGCGTCACGATCGAGGGATGTGCCGTCGTCCATGGTGTTGAGTGGGGAGGCGGCCTGGGCTTGGGCACGCCTGTCCATGGTCTTCACCGGGGTGGAGATAGCGACGGTATGTGCTGTACCCGTAGAGCCCTGCGCTTTTGGTGGCGAGTGTGTCACTGCGACCCCCTCTCCTGTCTGGCGTTTTTTCTGAACATGTTTGCCTGCTTGATTTCCCGCACAATCCATGCAAAGAGTGTATCCGCACAGATCCCCATTGCAGATCATGAACAACTTTGGTGGAGGAATGTCAGCATCGCAACCGCCACATTTGACCGGGATGTCCGTAACCTGATTCTCCATGCTGTGTGATTGAGGGCAGTGCAAAGATATCGACATTACAGCTCAGTGTGAATACTTGGTGTACGGTGGAGGGGATGTATAGTATAAGGGGATGTGTAAGATTGAAGATTACTGGTGAATGCTGGGAGGCGGAAGCTAGAGACTGCACGACGGCCACGTGAGGTGGGAGGTCGATGGTTGGGGTCGAAAGCTGGGGGTGGAAGGCTGGATGTCGTCAGCTGTTGGCTGATGGTGGGGATCAGAAGTTGGAAATTGGAGGTCGGTCACACGAGGTGGGAAATTGATAGGCGGAGGTCGACAGCTGGAGGTGGAAGATTGCGAATCGACCTCTGGTGGTGGGCGGTGGGAGTGAGGAGCTGGAAGCTGGAGGTCGGTCTGGTGAGGCTGGGAGTCGAAGAGTGAAGGTCGAAAGCTGAAGGTGGATAACTGCGTAGAGATAGCAGAGGGTGGATGGTAGGAGTCGGGAGCAGGAAGTTGGAGGTGGGTCAGGTGAGGCTGGAGGTCGAAAGGTGGAGGTCGGAAGCTGGATGTGGAAAATTTGGCGATGGCGGAGGTCCATCTAGGGCGCTGCCAGTGCGGCGCCAGAACGCCAGGATACTGCATTGTCGTATGCTACAAAATCTGGGGCAAGATTGTCCCACATATTTCGACGCCAAACACAGAACACCTGAAACACTCACATCATTCCATCCCATCCGAATTCCTATGTATTGTCGGACCTCGTCGGTCCACCTGGATTTGGGTCTCCCCACCCTGCGTATCGCTGTGCAGACGTCGTCGTCCTGCGGAGTCCATTGGAATACTTTTCGCGTCCGTTCGTGTTCTCCGGTGCCAGCCTATTTTCGTATCCAATGCCATTTTCGCAATCGTACTTTGGAAATCCAATCCGTGATGTGTAGCCTCTGAATTGTCGCCTCTGCCTTGTGAATGGCTCGTTAAACCCAGTCAACCCACGGGTCTACATAGTCAGCCACGGTTTCAGCATCGTGAACACATGGCGTAGAATGGGGGGGGCTGTCAACGTCACGTCTATCGTTATCGTCGTCGGAGTGCTGGTGGGCGTTGTCGTGTCGATCGTCGGTGCTGGCGTTGGCCTCCGCTGCTTGCAACGCCAATGTGCTAATTATAATGCGCTGGGGTACCGTGACTATCATGCAAAGCATTCGTGTGCGCTGGCGTTGGATCTCAAATTCGGTCATTCATGTCCAAGCTTCGCAACCGTAGAGGACAATGGGCGTGATGCTCCCATTGAATAGGCGAAGACGGTCCGATTGTGAATACGTCGGTCTAGTTAGCTCTTGCTTGAATGATTGGAGCTTCTGCCAAACTGTGGTGATGCGATGTTCTATTTCGGTGGCGTGGGGCGTACCGCGATGTAGTTGTCGTCCGAGGTAGTTCGTGGCGCGGTAGGGCGGCCGAACCTCGATCGTCACGCCGTGCACACTCAGGCTGTCGGATGCATGCTGGCTGCGTGGTGGTCAGTTGCCGTTGTGCGAGATCATTGTTCTGTCGGGGTGCGTTTCCAAGCCCGCCTTGCCCGCCTCGTTGATCAAGTCAGACAGCATACTTTTTTGAGGTGGTCGAGTAATCTGGCTAGTAGAAGAATATCATCGGCGAAGCATGACTTGGTCAGTCTATTACTCGCATCGCGTTGTAGCTGAAAGCCGTACCCACTCATTGTCCATCTCGCGTTGACTCGTTTCATGTTCTCTGATACACAATGGAAGAGCAATGAGCTGAGGGGGTCACCGTGCTTCGTTCCCCGTAGAACGTTGAACGGTCTGCTTAAGCGGTCTGTGCGAATAGACGCGGTCAATAATCGGATATACGGCTTGGGTGTATGTTGCTCAGTCAGCGGTGCCCATGTGCTCGAATGAATGAAGCTGTCGAACGCGTTATCGGAATCTACGGCAACTGACCAAAAAGGAAGTTGCCATTCATCCGCAATCTCCTGCAGTAATGTTGCTGTGACTATGTGGTCGGTGGTGCTGCGCTGCTTGGTCTGTGCTCCAGCTGCTTTCGAGTAATGGGTGCAATCGGTTGTAGAGATTTGTAGAGTAGCCTTGCGAAGAGTTTGTGCAGTATCGGGATGCTTGCAACTTGTCTGTAGTGTCTTGGTTGTTGGGTGACTCCACTCTTGTAAAGTACCTTGGTTACCGTGTCGCCAGCTGGTCGGTGTTGGGGAATCGGGTGATGTGATGTCATTGTACATGTCAAGTTGCACGGACCGAACAAAGTCTCACTGGTTCTCATGTCTAACGTACCAGAAATAACGTGTTGGAGCGATCCAAGATTCAGGGCGCAACAGTTACGCTGATTCGCTGTGTTGGAGCTCCCAGGAATGGTCTTCTGGCACGGTTCAGGATCGTCAAGACGCAACAAGCAGGCTGACTCGTGGCGTCACGCTTCAAGATTTTCACACGGTTGTCCCCCAACGGGGCAGTTCCCTCAGTGGAAGTGATATTCTTCTAGGGGCCGACAGCCGAACCTAAGCCAGAAGGACATCCTTCAAGAACACAAGACCCTCCGCCGGCCAAAACGCACAGAACATCCAAGGGTACCCTCCCCAGGGTGCACAAGAACATCCAACAAACACGGAGAACATTAGGGTACCCTTTCCTAACCCACCTTGATTTCATACCTCGGTCCGACTGTATGAAGAGAGAGATTGGAGGGAGGGTGTATTCCAACATCGTTGATCAGTCTTAGGTTTACACTGGTCCTCCTCCTCTTCCTCCTCCTCCTCCTCCTGTTCCTCCTCCTCCTCCTCCTCCTCCTCCTCCTCCTCCTCCTCCTCCTCCTCATCATCATCATCATCATCATCATCATCATCATCATCATCATTCCTCCCCTCGCCCCTCTCCTCCTCTTCCTCCTCCTCCTTGTCTTCCTCCTCCCTCTCCTCGCCCCTCCTCCTCCTCCTCCTCATCATCATCATCCCTCTCCTCGCCCCTCCTCCTCCTCCTGCTCCTCCTCCTCCTCCTCCTCCTCCTCCTCGCTCCTCCTCGCTCCTCCTCCTCCTCCTCCTCGCTCCTCCTCGCTCCTCCTCCCTCTTCCTCGGGGGCGCGCCCGAGCTGCCGCCAGGCGCCCCCGCTCCCGCCCCGGCGCCCATCGCGGCGCCTCGGCCGCATCGCGCGCGGGGGCGCGGTCCCATGGCGTCGTCGTGGCCATCGTTGGGGGGGGCGCCCAAGAGGGGGGCCGTCCAAGAAGGGGGCGTCCCAGAGATCCTCGATCACAGGGAATGGCGACGACAAGTTCTGGGTTATTTTCGGCCTCCTGGGGCCTTCGCCGGACCCCGGGACCGTGTCGTCTTCCGCATCCTCCTCCCGGCAGCACCACGAGGGGTACCAAAGGCGCAGGGGAACCAAATCTTGGTAGGGTGGGGCGGCCAAAACATACGCGTTCACCAGCCAAAGTGCCGCCATTGTAAGTGATCTGCTTCGGCCTTCGCGCGCCACATCCTACATCCATCCCGCCGCCCAGTCGATCCAGGAAGAAGGACCCACGATCCTCAATCTTCGATCTTCGATCCTCGTCCGCCTCGACCCCCCCTCCCCGTACTCCTCCCCGCTCTCGTCCTCCTCCCCGCGCCCGCAAGAAACGGGAAGACGTAAGACTCGTGTACGGGGGACTCGGGTTGGCCCGGGGTCGGAGGGTCGAGCCGCATCGGCGATGCATCTCCGAAACATTGGCGATGCATCCGCGACGCCAGCGATGCGTCGGCGACGTCGGCGCGGAGAACATCGGGATCCACATCGAACCGCATCGCCGATGCATCGGCGATGCATCGGCGATGCGCTTCGACCCCATCTGCTCCGACCCCATCTGGGAGGCCTAGACGTACCGTTTCCTCCTCTGACTGGCCGCGAACTGAGCATCGTTTATCCGGCCCCCATCCCCAGCGGCGTGGCCTTGGCCCCACTGGCCGATTTACCCCCTGAATGGGGATATAGGCCGTCCCCTTCGGGCTTCGAGGGGTGTGTCCCCAACTGGGCGGGTAATTTGGTGGGGGCCTCGAGGGGGATGAGGATGGGCATGGGGGTCGATTAAGCGATACAGTATCGCCGATACTGACGAACGGCCCTGCTCTGCGATGCGTCGGCGACGTCGGCGTGGAGAACATCGGGATCCACATCGAACCGCACCGCCGATGAATCGGCGATGCGCCTGCTGCTCCGACCCCGTCTGCATCGCCGATCCTTCGACCCCACCTGCTCCGACCCCGTCTGGGAGGCCCAGCCGTAGCGCTTCCTCCCCTGACCGGCCGCGAGCGGCCCTGCTCTGCGATGCAGCGGCGCCCTGCCCCCCGCGCGTCGTGGCGACCGCGCCGTGCCGCTGGGGCCTGGGCAGGCAGGGCTACGCACGGCCGCCCGCCATGGCCGCACGGGGCATCGCGGCAGCCCTGCCCTGGGCCAGGAGGGGCCCCTGCGCAAGAGCAGAGCGCGGACGGCCCTGGACACGAGGAGGAGGAGGAAGAGGAAGAGGAGGAGGAAGAGGAGAAGGAGGAGGAGACGGAGGAGGAGAAGGAGGAGGAGGAGGAGGAGGAGGAGGAGGAGGAGGAGGAGGGGGAGGAGGGGGAGGAGGAGGAGGCGGAGGAGGGAGGGAGGGAGGGAGGGAGGGAGGGAGGAGGGCAGGGAGGGAGGGAGGGAGGGAGGGGGAGGAGGGAGAGAAGGAGGAGGAGGACCAGGAGGAGGAGGACCAGGAGGAGGAGGACCAGGAGGAAGAGGAGGAGGAGGAGGAGAGGAGGAGGAGAACCAGGAGGAGGAGGCACGACCACATCGAGAAGAGTGCGCAGAGCAGCGGACAGGCAAAGGGGACGGGCAGGAAAAGGACGAGCACGCACAACACTACGATTACAGAGAGAAAAAGGAACTTGGGCGAGCGAGAGCGGGCTCAAGCTACCTCAGACGAAGCCAGAAACAGGCATCGTCTGAGGGCAAGAGGGGACGGGGGTCACCCCTCCACTCTCCCGAGATGGGGTCCTTACCCACCACGAGGGACTTTAAATAAAATGAGTCTTTACTGGATGCAATACCCTCACACCGACCCCAGAGACGCGAGCGGGGGGCCGACGGCTGGGCCCTGGCCCCACACCGATGGCAGAATGCAAGGGTAGCTCCAGCAAGACTGATCTGGTGCCCCCTAGCACTACTGGGCCCTACAGGGCCCTGAGCGGGAAGGGGGACATCAGGGATGACGGCCTCTTTCGCAGTCCAGGAGTCGGCGCGCCGCGGACCCCCAGAGGTCCGGGGCCTCTTGGCGGGCGGAGGCCCGCCAAGGCCAGCAGGGAGCGGAGGCTCGCTGCCAGCGGCAACGCCAGGGGCCAGGAGCCTGGGGGTGATCGGGCTCGGCCCCGCAGGGGATCCTTCCTCCGCGAGGTCCCGCCTCCGCCTGGAAGAGGCAGGGAGGGGAGGAGGGGGCCTGGGCTCCTCGGAACCCTGGGGACGCGCGGCCCTGGCCAGCCTGCACGCATCCGACAGGTCCGAATCCCACTGCTCCTCCTCCGTCCGAAACCTCACCCGCCTAACAGCCAGGGTACGCTCAAGGCCCTCGGTCGCCAAGGTCGGCGGCACCTCTGGCTCCACTGGAACCGCATGGGATCCAGAGGAGGAGGCGGCCTCGGAGGGGCCCACGACCAACCCCCGCGGCACCCCAGACACCCCGAGAGCCCAAGGAGGCCATCACGACGGTGGAGGTCTCAGGCGAAACTCCCTCCAGGCCCCAGAGGGCCGCCGCCTCGGACCAGGAGGAGGAGGAGGAGGAAGACCAGGAGGAGGAGGAGGAGGAGGAGGAGGAGGAGGAGGAGGAGGAGGAGGGAGGAGGAGGAGGAGGAGGAGGGAAGGAGGAGGAGGAGGAGGAGGAGGAGGAGGAGGAGGAGGAGGAGGAGGAGGAGGAGGAGGAGGAGGAGGGAGGAGGGGAGGGAGGAGGAGGAGAGGAGGAGGAGGAGGAGGAGGAGGAGGAGGAGGAGGAGGAGGAGAGGGGGAAGATGAGGGAGGAGGAGGAGGAGGAGGAGGAGGAGAGGAGGAGGAGAGAGGGGAGACAGGAATGAGGGAGGAGGAGGAGGAGGGGAGGAGGAGGAGGAGGAGAGGAGGAGGAGGAGGAGGAGAGAAGACCAGGAGGAGGAGGAGGAGGAGGAGGAGGATGAGGAGGAGGAGGAGGAGTGAGGAGGAGGAGGAGGAGGAGGAGGAGGAGGGAGGAGGAGGAGGAGGAGGAGGAGGAGGAGGAGGAGGAGGAGGAGGAGGAGGAGGAGGAGGAGGAGGAGGAGGAGGAGGAGGAGGGGACATCAGAATTTGGACATCAGGAATGTCGTGGGCCAACCAACCCTCGTGGGATGGTTGAGGGGACCGCCCCGCGAAGCTCCTCCGTGCCCGACAGGCCTATGGGGCCGCATCGCTAGGGCGTCGGGCAGCGTTGAAGCGCCCTGCCCGGGCAGGCCGGGGCAGGCGCGACAGCGCCCCCTGAAGAGGGGGGAAAGGAACGGGGGGGGGAGGGTGAGAAGGCGGAGCGGGCAGGGGCAGGGGCGGGAGAGACGGGGGCGCGGTCCAGCAGCGGCCCCGGCTCGGCTGGCGATTCTGGGCCGCCGCGCCGTCGACCCAGAATCCGCCCCCGCGCGCCCCGGCCCCCCGGGGCCGATTCTGGGTCGCGGCGCTGGCGACCCAGAATCACGGGGGGGGCGTTTCTACGCCCGGCGGGGACGGCTCGGCGGGGACGCGCTGCTGACGTTGAAGCGCCCTGCCCGGGCAGGCCGGGGCAGGCGCGACAGCGTTCCCTGAGGAGGCGGGGGGCGCAGAGTAGGGGGGGGAGGGGGCGGAGCAGGCACGGCGGGGGGAGGGAAGGAGGGCGGGGCGGCGCACCGCCCGCGGTCGGGCCTCGTCCAAGCACCCTGGTGCTGATTCTGGGTCGCCGCGCCGTCGACCCAGAATCCGCCCCCGCGCGCCCAGCCGCCCGGTGGCCGATTCTGGGTCGCGGCGCCGCCGGCCCAGAATCCAGCGCCCGCGGGTCTACGCGCCGCGGGCGACGACGGCGGCGACTGCGACTGGGCTGGCGGCGACAAAGGGGGGGCGGCGGCGGCGGGCGGGCCGGCCGGCCGGGCCGGGCGCCGCCCCGCCGACCCAACGCGCGGCCCCACAGCTTCCAGGCTCCCTGGGGCTGATTTTGGGCCGCCGCGCCGTCGACCCAGAATTGACCCGCGCGCCCAACCGCCCGGGGGCCGATTCTGGGTCGCGGCGCCGCCGGCCCAGAATCCAGCGCCCGCGGGCCCACGCGCCGCGGGCGACGACGGCGGCGACGGCGACTGGACAAGCGGCGACGCGGGGGGCGGCGGCGGGCGGGGCTGGCCGGCCGGGCCGGGCGCCGCCCCGCCGGCCCACCGCGCGGCCCCCCGGCAGCCAGGCGCCCTGGGGCTGATTCTGGGCCCCCGCGCCGACGACCCAGAATCCGCCCCCGTGCGCCCAGCCGCCCGGGGCCCGATTCTGGGTCGCGGCGCCGCCGGCCCAGAATCCAGCGCCCGCGGGCCCGCGCGCCGCGGGCGACGATGGCGGCGACTGCGATTGGGCTGGCGGCGACAAGGGGGGGGCGGCGGCGGCGGGCGGGGCCGGCCGGCCTGGCCGGGCGCCGCCCCGCTGACCCAACGCGCGGCCCCACAGCTTCCAGGCTCCCTGGGGCTGATTCTGGGCCGCTGCGCCGTCGGCCCAGAAACGCCCCCGCGCGCCCAACCGCCGGGGGGCCGATTCTGGGTCGCGGCGCCGCCGGCCCAGAATCCAGCGCCCGCGGGGCCACGCGCCGCGGGAGACGACGGCGGCGACGGCGACCGAGGGCGGAGGCGATGGCGTAGGGGGGGGCGGCTTTTCTACGCCCTGCGCGCGTGCACGTGGGCGCCCGCTACCCTCCCCACGAACTCCACCTTCAGCGCGAGCTCGGCGAGGTGCGCGGTGTCGGAGAGGGCCCACTCGGGGACGCCGCAAGCCAGGGCGGCGTCGCCCACGCGCGCCCGCAGCACGCGTCGGAATGCGTCGACGACCGGGCAATCCGCGAGCAGGTGGTGGAGGCCAGCTGCCTCGCCGCCGCAGAGGGCGCACGCCTCGCCCGGGACAGGCTGGAGTTCCACGCCCCAGACGACC